AATCTATATGTGATTGTAAAGTTGTTACAGATTTTTAGTGTTTGACGACACTTCAATTTGTAGCGCCCATATGATTGAAGAATACCTGTAACGGAAAGAGAACGATGAAAATCCCTCCACAGCCTCTTTTGTTGGACAGTATTTTTATTTATTTGTTTCTTCTCTCCGTCATATATTTTAACCTTTGTTCAGATCTCGTTTGAGCTTTTATTATGTGATTTTTATTAAAAACACATCTTTTGTTACCTGATTTACTATGGCATGTTGCCGGACTATTGACAGTGAGGTCGTGTTTGACTGAGCTCAAGGTCACGGCGTGATTCAGTGTGACTGTTAAACTTTTGAATGTCTACTTGAGAGGATTTCTGGAATCCCTGCAGACCGATATTTGATCCCGTTTGTTGGGAATATATTTATTGATTCTCAGGTATCAAATCCTTTGGTATTGACCGTTTCTTTTATTGTTTAGCGCGCTACTTTGCGTTAGAGAAACTTCTGACTGTATAGCACAGGCTGTACCGTTTGAGGTACTTTGTATTTTTGATATAATTTGTTCTATTTCTTAAATTAGAACCATATAAATTGAGCACAGAGTTTGTGTTTTGATATAATTTAATACGAGTGTCTCGAAAACGCTGGGCGAGCTATACGGAAGATCGTAGTCTGACCTATTCGAATACTAGATGGTGGTTGGAGGTAGTCGACAGGACAGATATCATGCACTCAGCGTCATTAGTAGATTGGACAATAGACCCGGCTTGGGACGCATTCCGAAATTTATACTTCAAAGTTACCGCACCCCACATTCCTTGGACTATATCAAGGGGGCCGAGAAACTCCCCACCATGGTTCAATAGGGAGGTCCGCATCCTTCTCCGTAAGAGAAGAAAAATGTGGGATAGATTTAGGTTACTGGGGACTGATGAGATAAAATCTCAGTTTCGAAAATCCAGAACCACCTGTGCCTCGACCCTCCGAAAGTCTAGAAAGCTGTACGAACAAAAAATTGTCAAGGAATCCATAGAATGTCCTAAACGCTTGTATTCCTATATAAACCAAAGGACTATGGAAAGACAGAACTGCCACATCATTAGTGGAAGATGTCTTTGGTAAGGCTCAAGTGTTCTCAAACTACTTTGACAATGAATATACCATAGAAGCACCCTTCCCGTCAGTGCATACTGACCCCCCGCACATACACTGGATAGCGTGACCATTAAAGAACTCGATGTCTTTGGTCTGCTAAATAAGCATGACATATGTAAATCCATAGAGCCCGATGAATTGCATCCTAGGCTACTAAAGGAATTATCTAACTTCGTTGCGAACCCTTAAAGCATATGCTTTAAGCTATCCGTAACGCAGGGTCGTTTACTAAAAGACTGGAAGAACGCCATAGTAAGTCCTGTCTTCAAAACAAGTACGAAACATAAACCTGAGAATTACCGACCCGTTAGCCTAACTAGTGTGGTTGTTAAAATCTTAGAAAAGGTTATTCGGAAGGAGCTGTTTAAGTACCTCGATGTAAACCGAATCCTTTCGGAGAAACAGCATGGTTTCAGACTAGGTTATTCTTATCTCACCAGCTTATTAGTCACTCGTGAAAGCTGGTACGCTTTCAAAGACCAAAAGTTACCTGTAGACATAGCCTACATTGATTTCAGCAAAGCTTTTGACAAAGTTCCGCACAACCGGCTGTTATATAAGCTAAAAAATGTCGGAATTGGAGGCAATTTATTGATGTGGATAGAAGACTTCCTTGTTGGGCGCCAACAAAGAGTACAGGTAAACTCAAAGTTATCTAGCTGAGAAACTGTGCTTGGTGGAGTGCCCCAGGGTACAGTTTTGGGGCCAGTGCTATTCCTCTTGTATGTAAATTACCTTCCTCGCTTACTATCATCATCGGTCTTGCTACATGCTGACGATGTCAAGATATGGAGAACGGTACGATGTAAGGGTGATAGCTTAGAACTCCAAAATGACCTGAAGAAATTATCCGAATGGTCTGATACATGGCAGCTGCCGATAAATACTTCCAAGTGTGTTGTAATGCACATCGTTCATCAAGGTACAGATACATACACGATGAATAACACAGTGTTCGTAAGTTCTAAACTTGAGTACTGCATACAAGCGGCTAGCCTCTGCTTGAAAAAAGACAGTGAGCTTTTGTAAAAGGTCCAGAGAACGGCAACTAAGCTGATTCCCGGAATAGCGAAGCTTCCGTATGATGCTCGATTGGCCAAGTTAAAACTATTCCCTTTGTCATATCGTAGTGTAGCGGTAAATAATTCCCCAATATAAGTAGCTCTGTAAGTCTTCGACATTGGATGCTGACCACAGTCATAGTGGACTCATCTAGCTGAAGGCGCTCGGTCAGGCATCCGCACCAGATCACGTGTGGGAACGCCGTGCTCAACATCTGCCGCAATCGCTAGCAAGATTAGTGCAAAAGATCCTCGATATATTGATGGCTTATCAAATATATCTTCGATCTCTTTGCTTATGTCTTTTGATTTCACCTGGTGGGTACGTTTCATATTAGAAGGTGTTACTGGTTAAAGCGTTGTCAAACTCCGAATACCTGTGGCATCTTCAGTAGAACTAGAGGCGACTTGATTACAGTTTTCAAATTGCTTAGTGATAAATTTGCACTTGATATGCCTTCATTTTTGTTGTCTTCCAAAACAAAGAATTTACGAGGGCACTCCAAAAAAGCTCACAAGCTCAGAACAAATTACATGTTAGCTGATTATTGACTTTACCATAGAATCATCAACGAGTGGAATTCATTACCTCAGCACGTGGTTGAAGCTACGTCCGTCGATTCTTTCAAAAGAAAGTTGGATCAACTGAGAGAACACCATTGCCAGGATTAACACAGGCTATCAAGCCTGATGTCCTTTCCAAACTTAAACTGAAATGTCAGACAACTGTATCAGTGTTTTTGAAACTCCAATCTAACTTATTCCTGCCGCGGAAACCACTAAACTAAGAGTTGTTCTGTGCATAAAAACACGAAAAGCATGTATTACTGCCTTCATTTTAGCTTGAAGAACCTTTGTTTATGCGTACTAAGGATGAAGGCCAATCACTGTAGCATTTGCGTGCGCAAGCTTCACGATGAAGGTCGTCCTACTTTTTCAACTACGGTTTTATGAGTTTATTGTACAGAATAGCTTCGCAATAGGAACAAATTAGATTCAAAGTCTAATCTAAAATTAGACCATAAGTGTGTTGGATTCAAGCCGAAGTTTAAATAGGTGTTTAACTACTACAGTAATATTTGGTTGTCTAATCCTTAATCACATTACTGGTTTTATTTTGTGTCAAGTTATGAAGAGAGATATGTTTACCGTCTTCGTTGGCTGGTATTACGCCTTGGAGAGATCACTTAATATATCACATCGGAAAGTTTCATATAACCTCAGTATATTGCCAACTTGAAGTCAAGTATGTAGTAGCTACCCTTTGTGTTTCTGCAAGAGTTGTAAGATACTGACGTAGAATGCTCATGTTAAACAAATAAAATCCCTTTGATCACGGTTCAGGTTTTCGTAATATTGCTTTTATGTTGACTGACCTCATTAGAACATTTCGTTAAACCTCAGAGGTATAAACAATAATTACTTGAAACGATAATGAATAATAAGAGATATGTGAGTCGAAGTGATAGCAATTAGTTCGTTTGTACGTCGTTGACATTTTGATGAATAACATAATTAGCCGCTCACCGATTGGGACAACACTTAGTACATAGAATTCACTACGTAAACAAGGATATCTTCTTAGAACCCATTGCAATTTCTGAAGAGTTGTGATCACCCATTGGACAGTGTTCCTTTTAGAGACTAATAGTTGCATAGATATGCTGAATGTTTGGCTTTAGAAATAAGGTAACTAAAAATGCTAGTCAGTTGACCAAACACTTAACTATTGTCACATCGATTTAGTACTAAAATGTATCTCCAAGCTCATGTTATTGTAATGTTAACAGTTGTTCCCTTAGTCTCATCAACAAACTAGACTCAGTGTAACATATCCCAAACAAACAACCAATTCATCTTATATAGACCTACTTGGTCCTTCGAGGTTTACATAAGGACAAAGGTTTCAATCAAGGACTTGGAAGGATAGAAATCATATTATTACTGTCCTTACTCTTTCAAAGAACACACTGTGCATATCACACAAGTCTTCTGAATAAAATAAAAAACTTTAGTTTGCTCAGCTGTAAGGGTACCTGAAGGGAAACGCATCTGGATTGTTACTACGAAGACTAGTCCATCGCTTGTAGCTTAAAGTGGGTTGCCTTTAGGCGTTTGCTACATTTAATGTGGTTCATCAGTGCGTTATAGCCAATGTTTGCCGAATATTCTTATGATTATAGTTCATAAACTCTCACCAAACGATATATCATTCCAAGAACTTTGTAACCTTGTTAAGTAAAAAGCCTCGACGTGCTAAAATCATTGAGTACTTTAGACTGTTCATCATACATCTTACTACTGCTTCCTATCTGTTCTAATTTTAAGCAACTTGGAGCAATAAATATTCATCTTGTATCACAATTTGTTCCTTTATAGCTGATACTGATCTTATAAACCGGCCGGCCTATAAAATCTCAACATATGCATCTACAGCCCAGACAAGGTACAGTTGGTTACCAATTGTCTACTCCGTTAATGTGAGACAGTCTTAAAGGATCGAATGATTAAGTATCGTATCTTGTCATCAAAAGAATGCTAGTGTGTTGTGGAACCACTAAATAATGTCGGAATAAAGACTAGACAGTTTACAAAGCTACCTATCAATCGGTTTTTTTTCTGCTTCGCGTATGCTGATTGTCGCTCGTCGGCAACAAATATAGAAACCATTTTATTAGGACCCATACTACAAATATCCCAAATTATTCACTAAAATCCTATTCAAATAATACATTTTATCGTCTCACTGATCCTTTGCAGGTACAGTCTATTAGTTCAGATAGAGAAGCTGAAATGGATCTTCCAGTGTCGTGTAGTTTTACTGATCAAGCTAAGCAACGTGAAATCCATCAGAGAAAAATTAATAAGACAATTATTGAAAATCGCATAAAAACCAAAGCACTCCGCAAAGCTAAGCGTAATGTACGCAAACAAACAGTAATGTTCAATGCGGTTTATTATATTTTACTTTAGGACGTCTGTCAGTCTAGTGTAACAGCTCACCAAGAAATCCAAGTAAGCCTTGTGCGTTTTATGTACTGGTGTTTTGAAAATTAGTATATACCGCTGACGTATAAGGAAAAGTCAAATGTAAGGTTGTCACTTCCAACCAACCAAACAAAGGACTATCTAGAAGAAGAATTTAACTGTCCGGGATATTTTAACACATCAGATCATCTTCAGTTTGATGAAGACGATGGCGACCAACCTTCCATACAAAATAAATCCTTGGACATATCAGCCAGCTGTTCACCGAACGAGAGTGAACTACTATACGGCAACGGTAAGCTACTATCTCTGTACAATTTCTAAGATGTGAACTTTCCAATTATGTTTGAGTCGCGCCATACAGCTTTCCTTAGACTCACTCCTTCCTGTCAGAAACTTCAATAAAAGGAATCGCGTGCTTAAATACGTACCTGAAAGCTCTGTTAGACTGACAGTCATCGCAAGAAACTGCAATTCTAATCGGATCTTAGGTGTGTAACTCTGAACGATAATTGTTTATACCATGCCTTAATTTATGTATGTTTAGCTGATTAGTATTCCAGCCAACGATATCATGTAGTGCATCAATGGAATTTTCCCAATAGTACATTTGACGCAGTGTTTACGGCCCCCGAATGCCCTGGTACGGCCGAGAGTGGGGAGAGACCGCTCTCCCTCTCGAAATGCTCTCACATGGCCATGCGTATATAGCCTCTGCCAGGGAAGTCCTACTCACTGCCTTCTCGTGGCGCGGGTGTTGTTTACAAAAATGAGAGGACGAAAAGCGAATGTCCGGCGCTATAACCGGATCCCAAACCAATGGTGCACATGGGCTCCAGTATCCTGAAGGAACAAATGGCGTATGAACCAATCGTTGGTCACCGGCTACCATGGGACTGCATCTCCTCACGATGCTCCACTGCCTTGTGGGTCAGACGTTCAGGTCGAAGGCTCGGGGTGTGGCCCCCTAAGAAAACCACCTGCTTCGGTTTGGGCACCCGGGCAGTATCACAGCCCTCACACAAATCAATTGAGATTTGTGTGGCGCATATGTATTTGGTGCCTCCCTGTACCTATACTTATGTGTTAAAATAATAATAATAGTGTTTACGGCAATACTTAAGACAAGCTATCTCACTAGTACGTATTTTGTAAGGTTTAACAATTCGTTCTAGATTTCAATAGGTATCACACTTTATGCTACTATTCAGAGTACTTCCTATCCAGACTTATTCACCTAATGTAGCAATTTATAACCATCTTATTACCATGACGTGCAATACATCAAGGCTATGTTTATCCCCACACAATAGATACGTTTATTTTCATATTGGGTTACTCAATTCATAGTAATGAGTAGTTTTCTTTCTGGCAAAAACCAAATTTGTGGATAGTAATTTCCTGATTTTGTGTTCATGACTTGCATACAAACTTACCAACGGATCTGGCAATATCTCCAGCAAACTGTTCGTATTATTAGCGATCTATTGTCACGGCCTATTTTCGCTAAGATCATACTAGTGAGGTATACAATACTACAATGTGATTGACGTTTTTCAAGGCTTTTAATGTGCATCTGGTTCCTCGTTTGTTTTAGCTCTTAGCTTCACACCTGTCTTTATCAGTTTGACCGAGGTCATTAAGAATACCGTCAGGTGTCTATATAGGACACCCTGTGGCTTATTAGAATCAACGTCGACCACAATACAATATAATTCTATTATGTTCATACCACTTGAAACAAATAAACCTGAAGTCTGGCCAACCAGCTTTATCACTAAGCATCACGCAGTTAATAGGATATATATGGTATTATTTCTGCTGGCAGCTACACTCTTCATAGAACTCACTTATCCATTTCAGAGTCCGATGAAGGGTATGATGGCAGTGAAGAGCACGATAAGAATAAATCAAAGACAATACTTTTTGACAATGTTGATTGTTTTACAATTAACACTTTGAAATCCAAGGGATCTGATTTTGAAACACGAAATCATAAGTCATGGAAAAAAATAAACAGGTTGGATGGGGTTCATGTTCGAATGCTGGACAGCGCAAATATTGAAAACACAGCTCGTCAAAGATGTGACAGTTTTCGAAAAGACCAATTGTATTCCTCTTCGTATTCCGGGAGGTATGGAGATGTTAAACGAGTCACACCAAGCTTACTGAAAAACTTATCAAGAAAAAAGAAAGCTAGAGCTGGAATGCGTTAACTATTTGACTAGAAATCCTGTAAATACTATTTTTATTTGTTCCGTCATTATTTTGGTAATGACGCTATCCGATCTACTACTTGTTTTTAGAGTAAACTGTGTTTATGTAATATAAAGTGCGGTGATACTTGTATCTGAATTATTGTAGTGTGCATCTTACTTTCTGAGAACACGTCTAGTCACTTTCCTTTAGAGATATAATCGTATTAATCATAATGAGATCTCTATAAACCCTATCCAGATAAAGGATCAAAATCCGCCCGTTGTCATGTTTCCACTCGAAATTCATCTCTCGCTTTTAAATGCCACTGCCTGACAACTGAGTTACTACGCAGTTGCTGTATGAAATTCAGTAAGTTTTGGTACGAGTTTCTTGGTTTATTAAGGTTACATTTATTTTTCGCTCGATTTTTCTTTATTAGTGGGTTCACAGTTAACTGCTCATTCTAGTTAGGTGTTTGTATAACTTCGTCTCCGCAAAGTGTTGAAACGTCCCTCACGTATATATATGAGTTTTTGAATAAACTACAGTTTTCTCACTTTTAAGCCTGTATTTTGTTTGTTTATTAAGTAACCGTAAGCTAACTTCATTTCTTAAGAACCAGACTTGACGAAAGACTCTCATTTCAGTTTCAAACTTAGGAATAAAATGTAGTCTTTTAGGTTTTCGTTGAAACCTTAATTGTAAGTGATAAAAATAGAGAGCAACAAAGACGAGACGTGTTAAACCAGACCTATAGTTTCATTGAAACTGGTCATTTATGCGTAAATTGGTAGGTAAAAAAGAATCGAATTTATGCAATGAAAGTCTTGTTTCAAGCTAGCAAAACTCACTATTTGAATGACAACATTACGTCAAAATGTTACACAGAAACGTATATATTTCAGCGTGAAGTGAACTAAATACTGATTGAGACTTTAAATCTCTCTTTTGGATATTTTAAATCCTAAGTAACAAATTACGGAGAGCTTTTGGGACTACTACTTATGAAACCTGACTTAGGGAAAGTGTAGGAGTAAGCATCATGCTTGATAACCACTTAACGATCGATTCCGTACACTGGATAGTCATAAGGAGTTTTTGGCATCGAGCAGAAAAGTTTTTTGAAGTAATTAACGAAACCTGTTAACTGAAATATTCCTACCAAAGAAATAGGATTCTGTTACAGCATGTACTTTTACTTCTAATCTATTTCTATATTCGGTGTCATGATAAAAGAGGATAGAATATAACATGGACTTTAATTTATGTAAAAAAAATTAACAAAATTGGATCTAAACAACCAAGGAAGGTTAATTTATTAGCTCAAGCCGTGCGATCCAGGTTTTCTCTTAACCATTCATCCGAAAGTTCTTCCAGGTCTCTGAGTTCAAAAACCTACAAGAAGGTTAAATATAGTATGCTGAACCTCAATACTTACCTTCGTTACTCCGCTTTTATGCATCAGATTTGTAAGACTTGTGGTATACATCATCTTTAGGTTTGTAGCAGAACCTATAAATAGTTTTTAATAATGTGTAGGCTCAAATCAAGATTACATATATATATATATATATATATATATATATATATATATATATATATATATATATATATATATATATATATATATATATATATATATATATATATATATATAGGTCCTGAACCATCCTTTAGTATTACTGATCTCTAAAGCCCATAATAATGAGAGACAGCCACAAAAGTTTAAAACAAATATTTCTATGGATCCCATGTGTGGATGAAGTAAGACAAGTGCTTCTTGCAGTTCGACAAGACTAGGAACACTATTCCAAGATTTCTGCAGGTACGATGTACAAGGTGAAAGTGATTAAGTCTGAACAAATGTAGTACTCAGGACATCTGTTATGAACTCAGCTCTCCCTTATCCTAGTGCAATGCTGGAATACCTGGATTACATGTCCAGACTCCAAAACAGAGAGATAGATACATCTTAGTTATTCTTTGACAAGTTAGTAAAGTAGGCAATGAATTAGAATTATGCTTTGGCACAAGTTTCATTTCTGATTCTACAGAAAACAATTTAGTTTCCTTCCCATAATCAGTTAAGAAAAATTAAAATACCCAATTCAATACAATCACATACCCATTGGAGTTGAAAATAATAGACAGTATGGAAATGTTACCCGACCATCCTCCTTTTCATAACGGTAACTTAGAAGAATATATCTTGGTTGATGGTACGGTAAAGAATCTTTGAGATTTTTAAGTGTAATATCCTAAATTGGGAGATTCTTTGAGCATATAAAATAAACTGACTTCAAGTATTTGCTCTGGTTCGATTGTCAAAGCTTCTTTATCAATTTTCACTACAACATGATACTGATTAACACTTAATAAACAAGAGACAACATATGAGGGCAACTGTGTTCTGGGATTTTCGAAATTTGAAGTTTTTTAGGTTATCTGCAGTATCTTCAGATATTTCAGCGACGCGGAGCCCAGACTGAAGTATTTAAGGTGTTTGTAATAGCGAAAAATTACCATTGTAAATGTTCTGAAATTAAATAAACAACAAAAGCAATGGTAAGCGCCAATATCCGGGAGATTATTTTTCTTTTGTATCCTTTGGTACATACAAAGTTCACTGTATATAAACCAAAAGCAAGTCGCATGCGAAGTTGAAATGGGTTTTACAGTCGTCATCAGCATGGAGGCTTTTAGTCTTTGCACAATAAAATGGGACCTTCACAGGGTTTTACTTTAAACAATGTACGATATATATAAAGCCATCATTAGCTAACCCGGTGCTGTGATACACGGGTTTATTCCAGCCTGATACGATTACTTTGCATTTCAGTGCGTTGGTTTCAAGAACCCCTACTAACCCACGAAGCGGATCCCAAAATATCTTACACTAACAGAGACTGGATTATTAGTAGCCAAGTTAAGAAGTAGTAATTGTAAATTTGTTTCCAAGAAGTAATTCCTAAACCAACTGATTTATAAGGCATCAGAAAATATTGTTTGAAAAACAGAAGTACTTATCTATAATCTTCAGATTTAGCCTAAAATAGACGAAACGGAATTGATATGGAAGAACTAGATACTACATTACAAAACGGTTCTTATATGAGTTGTACGTATGTAGAACAGCTAAAGTAGTCAGTTGTCGACTCAATCCAATGAACACATAATACTCTACTGGTACTAGCGTTGCATGTATACCGTCGTCACCCCATAGTGCCAAAGGGAAATAATAGAGAAAAAAGGGAGGAGTTTAGTGGAAGAGAAAGAAGTAAGGTGGAAGCGTGCTCTTTTACGATAATGTTCTTTCTAATTGTAGGCGTTTTCATTCACTTCGTCATCTGTTAGTATAGTTTCGAATTTATTTATTCACAGAGTCAAACCATTCATTATCATGGAAACCCTAACTTCGAATTACTTCTGATTAGTATGTTGTACGCTTCCCCTCGAAACGCTATTCATATGGGTATAATTAAGGTGTAGTGAGAAAATTCGTTGTGGTGGGCTTTATCCTACAAAAGACCTGAAAATATGAACAAGCGTATCACATCTATAGTTAAGTCTATCATATTGTGCTAAACGGACTATCCAAGTTTTAAACAAAGTGTCGCGTCTTGGGTGGTGTTTATCTTTAAGAATCACGACGTTCATGGTTATTGGAGTAGCTTGGGACAAAGCTGGAAGAGACCAAATCAAGATATGGCATCAGTACGTGAAGACAATAACTGCTGAACTGAGTTATATAGGCAGGTGCAGATTACCTGGCTAAGGTTCGTGTGAATATAGTAATTGGCGGTTAGAAACTGGGTAAATTTACTATCTCCCATTAGATCATACGTTTCTGAATTATATTACAACTTTATATTGCTGATCTACATTTAGCTTCCGAGCTGTATCTTCCACGACCATACTTTCCTAATACCCTCTACACTGTCACCAAAACTACTGTTCTGTGATATAGGTTATCCCTTCCTTACATAGTACCTTCAGTTCTTAAAAGTATTTTACCATCACCTCTGCACGTAAGTTTTAAATGTTTAGAAATTCATATTATCTCACCTCAGAGTGTACGGCGACTCCGTTGATGCTATTAAAAGTTGTCTGAATAATGAATGATGTCACGGTGTAAAACACCTTTTTTATAACATCCATTTGTTGAATAACGATGCTAATGTTTTCCTACATGGGACTTTGGATTCATACTCAGTTTCCCCTTTTGAGTTTTATAAGAGGCGGATAAAAAGGACAGTGTACTGCAGATAAGCTGCAGCCAAACAGGCTTTCTAGCGTTGTACAAGAAATCGTTAGTAGAAGGTTGTAACTCAAAGTCCGCGTTGTTATGATTAAAACTAGTCATATATAATTCTAAGAAACGTTATTACTTGCAAAGATTCTTGATTTACCTCATTTAAGCCCAATGATATGGTAATAGTTGAGAATAAGCTTGGAGAAATTTCAGATTTCTGGGATAACGGATCAACGGGATTTAGACTCAGATCTTTTAACCAATGTATTTCATTCTACTCGTATGGGCAAATATTGTCCGTGGTTAGTTATGAACACAAAAAATATAGCTGGAATATCGTCTAAGAATATTTTTGTAAGCCACACAAATAATGCGGTGATTGGTTCCCTCCTACGTATGTTTTTGTACGTTAATTTTGCATTTCCTCATGAATACACTACAACTTTGTAATAAAGGAACCCATTTTTAAACTTTTTAAGTCTGTAACTAAAGAAGTGTGTTATAATTGTTTTGACAAATTAACAAGTGTTCGCTCTAGCAGACAGCCAGGTTGTTGGTAGAAATTATGTATGAAACCAAATAACTCATTGAAAATCGAACGAACACAGAAGTTAATCCGGATGGGAACCCGTCGACTATTCAATTGATGGTTCACTGCTACTTCGGTGAGTTTCAAACACAAGTTATTTTCAAAAACGATGATTTATTTTCTTATTAAGTCATTATCCTCATCTAACAAGGTAGTCACAAACAACCCCGAAAAATTTAATGAGGAAAGCATTAATGGAGGGGGACTGGGTGTGGTAGACGCATATCTTCAACAAGATATAAGTTTGTTAAAAACACAAGGTTTTTGTCACATAAAAGTTCAGCTGCATGACTGCCATCAAGAGAAAGACAATATAATTAAAAGTCTAAACCAAAAACTCTTTCTTTTCGTTCTCTAGATGCAGGGGTTAATTCTAACAAAGACTGCCACGTCTTACCGTATGCTGTCACATTCTTAGTAGAAATTTTTAGAATAATATCTAAATAAACATTGTCTCACTTGGAAGTTTCACTGAACAAAATCACACCCGTCACTAATAATGGGTATGTGTGGCTTCCCCGGGTGTTTTCGAAAAATTTCTCATACTATCATTCGAATATTCCATTTGAATCTGCCACTTTGAGACAATTGCGACGTGAGTACAGGCATGTCATATGATATGGTAACACTGAAGCGCATTTTTGGTCAGTTTGACGGGAGAACTTTCCACATAATCTTCAATAGTTTCATTCGTCCCCATTTAGAGTACGGGAACATTGTATTCCCTCCTAAACTCCAAAAGGATAAGGACACTCTGGAGCGTATCCAACGGCGAGCCACGAAATCAGTTCGGGGACTCAAATTTAAACCTTACGATGAGCGCCTCCAATCACTCGACCTTTACCCATTAGAGTATAGGCGTCTTAGAGGTGACCTTCTATTGGCTTACAGTATCCTTAACACACCTGGACACCCTCTTAAACACCTACTTAAGCTTAGTCCCAACACTAACCTAAGGGGTAACACCCAAAAACTGGAGATACAACATAGTAGAACGGACTGCAGACACAATTTCTACTCCTTAAGAGTTGTCAAATGCTGGAATTCGCTGCCAGCTGAGCTAGTCCAAGCAACTTCCCAGGAGTCCTTTAAGAGGCGACTTGATCTATTCTTAAGGACTAAGGATAGTATCCTACTATGATTTACCAATTCATTTTCTTTCTCTTTTATCGTTAATATACCTAGGTTCTTGCCTGGAGGTATTGGTGATCCCCTGCTACTAGACACGGAAGCCTGTTAAGCGAAAGCTTCTATTCCGTCCGCAACCATTTGAACCATTTGATAGTAAGAGCAAGCATCTCATTTAAAACAGAAGTTCTTAATCACTAAGTTCAAGAAACTATCAAATACGAGCTTATATTCATTGCCGAATATCGGTCGAAGACTATCATATTTCTCAATTACGCCAGAATCACGGTCGTGTGCACACGACTGATACTTAAATGTCAGTGATACATTAGCGGGAAGTAGACTATATAAGGTGTATTTATGCGAGATTAGACTGTTGATCTCGAAATACGTATCTCTAGGGGGACATTCAAGCGCAACATAACTGCTTACCACCAAAACCAACACAACACAAATTGGGCAACGCTTCAGGGGTATTGTCCACTGAAGGAGGCTGCGAGCACTTGAAGGTCAAACTGTCTGAAGATGATTGGTGCGTCACATCGACAATTCGTGAGGTTTTTCAGAGGCGGTCAAATCAAGACATTTTTAGATTTGAATTGAGTTCAACCACACCATGTCTGATAACGTCCATCCTTCAAGTAACGAAGATGATGACATCATGATGATGCATGATATAGGACGGATCTTCAATGATATTATGTTATCTGGGAAATTCACCTGTTGGAACAATTTTGAGACCTGTTTGAAAGAAGTACATTTGGTAATATGACTTCTGTGGTTAATGATTATTTTTGCAGTATACGCACACTAAGTACGTTATGTCAGTATGCAAAAAGAACAATGATGACCCAACTCTAAAGTATTTTTTCGTGAGACATGTCTGTACGTATGTACGTAAACGCACCCAAGCTCCCAATTTTGGGGAAATTTTGGGTAAATCCCCAAAGTTTGGGGAAATTTTGGGGTTTTTGTGCCATTTCCCCAAAATTTCCCCAAAGTTTATGATGGCGGCTTCCCCAAAATAGGTAAAATTTTCCCCAAAATTGGGAGCTTGGGCAGTTCGTCAAAGTCAGATCAGTTTTAGTTTGGAAAGGACATCAGGCTTGATAGCCTGTGTTAATCCTGGCAATGGTGTTCTCTCAGTTGATCCAACTTTCTTTTGAAAGAATCGACGGACGTAGCTTCAACCACGTGCTGAGGTAATGAATTCCACTCGTTGATGATTCTATGGTAAAGTCAATAATTAGCTAACATGTAATTTGTTCTGAGCTTGTGAGCTTTTTTGGAGTGCCCTCGTAAATTCTTTGTTTTGGAAGACAACAAAAATGAAGGCATATCAAGTGCAAATTTATCACTAAGCAATTTGAAAATTGTAATAAAGTTGCCACTAGTTCTACGATATGACAAAGGGAATAGGTTTAGCTTGGCCAGTTGAGCATCATACGAAAGCTTCGCTATTCCAGGAATTAGCTTAGTTCAACGACGCGATGTCGTAAAACTATTGAAATGCTTTAAAGATATAGTGTGCGGTACTTATGATACAAGCACTTCGTTATGGATTCGGCAGTAATACCAGCATAGTACTTTGTTCATTCCATGTCTTAAGAGTATTTTTCAGGAAGATAAGTGTTAGTTGTACAATTTACTTTCTGTAGTTCGGAAATCCTGATGTACGCAAATGCTTGGAACACCTTGTAAAGACTAGACGGTCTGACATAAGAGCTTCGTTTTTCATAACGCACTATATTCAGATTTACTCAAAAGTACGAACATCTGAGGATCCATTTCTCACAGGCGTATGGTTACATATAAGACAAGGAAATATATAATGGACTTGGTTCTTCGTGCGCCGGGAGTGATGATCTGCTAGAGAAGTTCACTACCAACTACCACTCAATCCATGCTCTTAGTGAACCCTTGGCAAGTAAACTCATCCGTTCATGCTTCGAAGCATCGGAAAACATATGTGCACAAGTGATGAGTTCAATCGGTGCTAATGATGAAGCTACATCGTCACAATCCATTGTTAATACTGACCCTAGCTATGCTTCCTGATAACAAGAAGTTCTAATATTGCAATCTTCTTAGTTTTACATAAATTCATTTATATGGGCATTAACTCGTTCTTATAACGTTGCGGTAGGGAGAGTGTAATGTGCAGCTTTATGTGGCTGTGATACAGGGATGTTGTTTCTTGTGTAATAATCAGTTTGGCGCACACGCGATTAGTCTACAGACCGTTTATCAAACACTGCAACCTTGAACATGGTGTACTATACTACTAGGTCGAATTTCGACCTGTCACGATAGATAAGCATTACCGTAAGTAAAAAACTAATGCGTTATAAATGAAAACGTTTATTAAAGTTTAAATCCCGTACAAATGATCCATTGGCAAATAACTTCCAGTTCTTAAGAATTGTTTCAGTTAGGTCTGTGAACACTTGAGAATCCAGCTGGAAATAAGATAGACAGGAAGTAATTATTGCAGTATAAATGTTTACCAAAATCTAGTATAGAAACAGAAACAGGTATTCAGTTACAGATCGGAAGTGCATTTAGCACACCCTTTCTTTGGATAGTCGCGCTTATTTGCTTTATCTCTTGCGTTGCTTAGGGAAGCCTGGGTCGCAACATAAATGGCTTGTATTATTTCGTTTTTTAAACAGGTTGCACTTCGGAAACTTAGACAATGAACATATATAAAGACTACTATGTGAACTTACTTTGAATCGTCCTGTGTAATCTGCAACTATTGATGCCCATTTTATTTTAGTCCCACGTAAGTTACAAGTAATTGTCATTCCTGTAGATGGTCAATAGCCTTCACTCACTTGTTCAAAATCGCGCGGATAACTGTACTGATAGATGGACTTTCTCATCTCGACAGAAACTGTCAAAGCAGTGTGGCCGATGCCACCAAGTTGAGAAACACTCCACAAAAGTACTCTCACAGCATCCAGAGGTGCCTTGGTCAACGTAACAACAACAACAACAACAACAATCTACACTCGAACCAAAATTAGAAAACATACACAGATATGAAGAAGTATACCAGGAAAACTGAATCTTCACTGGGAAGCATACACCAAGGATTAACACAGGTCATCTGACCTACTATTATTCTTATTACGGACGACTATACTGCAGTCTCAAGGTCGAGCGAATTCCCGTCTAGTTGATATTAAATTTAGTTCTCGTGAAAGTGTCAGTCATATTCCGACGAGTCCAAAAGCAGTGCATCAGCAAACCTGATCATCCTTCTTATCCTAAGATGTTTGTACAGAGTCAACTGTAGCGGTAATTAATGCGCCAATTTCAAATAGCTCTGTAAGTTTTCGACATCGGATGCTGACCACAGTCATAGTGGACTCATCTAGCTGAAGGCGCTCGGTCAGGCATCCGCACCAGATCACGTGTGGGAACGCCGTGCTCAACATCTGCCGCAATCGCTAGCAAGATTAGTGCAAAAGATCCTCGATATATTGATGGCTTATCAAATATATCTTCGATCTCTTTGCTTATGTCTTTTGATTTCACCTGGTGGGTACGTTTCATATTAGAAGGTGTTACTGGTTAAAGCGTTGTCAAACTCCGAATACCTGTGGCATCTTCATTGGTGAGCCCAACGTGATCTGGTAAATATAATTGCAAACTGTGAGTCCGTTCTTTTTTGTGATTTTATATATCACAAATCCTCGCAATAGTCAAGGCACTACCGCCCGAATTCAACAGGTACGTAACACCTAGTGTGCTTACTAGTGATGTTTCTGATCCATACCAAACCCTGAAACATGCCATCTTTAAACGCGGAGATCTAACCGATCGACAAAGTTTAGACCAACTCCTCAACAACATCGACCTGCATAACGGTTCTGCCACAGACATGTTTCAAAGAATGCGAGAAGCCATTGGCCAAATAACCTTCGATGACGGCCTATTCAAACAACTTTTCTTATCAAAACTTCTTCAACAGGTGCAAGCTGCGCTGGTCTCGTTCCGAAACAATGCCGTAGACGAGCTAGCTGCATCTGCCGATCGCATTCTCGTAATCACTAGATCTTCTAACGCCGGGGTTTTTTCAGTGAAAGAAAGGCCTCAAACGACCCAGAATGACATAACACAGTTATGTCATACACTTACGTGTTATCTCAAACTCCGTAACGACCGTAAACGGCCACTCTCCCCGCGACGAAGCACATCACTTAGGAGTCGGTATCTAGATATCGAGAGACGGATAATCCTGACTGGTGCCGGTATCATAACCAGCATGGAAAGTCCGCCGGAAATTGTGGAAAACCCTGCAATTTTCTCAACGCAAAATTGGTCGACACGAAGAATGTGTCGAGAAACTACCAAGACGATACGCGTTAAATTCGATCGAAGCCGGCGAACATAGCCTTTAAAAGTACAGTAGTTATATTGTCCGGTTACCACAACTGACACAGACTGTTTGTCTGTCCACGTGTCTATAATGTTCTCATGGTTGTAATTGTCACATCCTCTCAATTGTTCAAAATTCTCATTCTCGCTTTCTTCTCTTATCTGAAATCAGCATTTATCTACAGAGTCATCATTATTGAGGAAATCATCGGTGTCCAAATTGCAACTACCTGTCTCAAGTTCACAATTATCTGCATCATTAAATTTAGTTAAACACAAAACAGAAATAAAATTAAAATCACTTACTTCATTAGCTTTCACTTGTTACACATGTCCGCTATGAACTGAATGGTTATTTCAATCAACAACCACTATCATCCGACTAGTCATAATCTTTAGTCTTCAGTCTTCAGTAATAAGGATAGGAGGTCTATTGACCTGTATTAATCCTTGCAGTTTGTAATACTCTGGAGGTCCAATCTCGTCTTGAATATATCAACAGAAGGTGCTGATATTACGTGTTCCGGTAGAGAATTCCAATAATTCACTACTCGAAGAGAGAAACGAAACTCCAGACGTAAACGATTTGATCTCGGTTTTTGAATTTTTTTTCGAGTGTCCTCTCAAACGATCAGTCCCAGACGGAAGTAAAAGATAGGACATGTTAATACCAAGGTCATCGTTCAGTATACGATAAGCCAATATTAGATCACCCCGTATTCGATGGTAAGATAACGGAAATAAGTTGAGGTGTCTCAACCTGTCTTCATAAGATAGTCCAGATAGACCTTGTACCATCTTAGTACCTCGTCGTTGGACTCGCTCTAGCATATCTGCTTCATACTTGAAACAAGGACTTGCTGCTTGAATCCCATATTCTAAATGTGGTCGCACATAAATAGGGTATAGTAATCTAAACATTTCATCATCTAAATACTGAAAAGACCTACGAACAGACCATAATACCCTATAGCCTTTCGCAGCAGCAGCCTTACAGTGACTAGTGGTTTTGAGATCACTACTTAATATGACTCCCAAATCTTTATAGTTTCTTACTTTGGGTAGTACGAATCCACGTATTGTATAGTGATACGATTCATCATTGTTATTTAATTGCATCACCACACTCTTATTAGGATTTACTTCAAGTGACCACCTGTCTAACCATGCCACCAGTGAGCTAAGATCATTCTGTAATACCATTCTATCCGACATATTGTGTATGGGTCTCCAAATTTTTATGTCATCAGCGAATAGTAGAACGGATGATTTTGCTACAGTTGGTAATTCATTTACATAAAGTAAAAAGAGAAGAGGACCGAGGATTGTGCCTTGGGGAACTCCACTTTCTAAAGGTACCCACGATGAAAGAGCCCCATTAACCCTTACCCTTTGTCTCCTGTCATGGAGAAAGTTACTTATCCAATCTACGACTGTATAATGGATTCCGAAGCGTTCCAGTTTGAATTTAAGACCACAATGCGAGACCTTATCGAAAGCCTTACTTAGATCTATGAAGATCACATCTACAGGAATATTCTGATCTTTTGCAGCAGCCCAATCTTCTCTTGCAATGAGAAGATTTGTCAAGCACGATAGGCCTCTCCGAAAACCATGTTGTTCCCTGGAGAAAAGATTATGCCTTTCAACATAGTTTATAACAGATATCCGAATGATTTTTTCCATCAGTTTTACAACTGCACTAGTTAAGCTAACGGCTCTATAGTTACTAACTAAATCCCTACTCCCAGCCTTATACACCGGACTTATTATAGCGTCTTTCCAGTCTCTGGGCAGTCTGCACTGCTTTAGAGACATGCCAAACAGTATCGCTAAAGGTTCAGCAATTACATCTGATATGGCTTTCATAATCCTAGGATGAATATTATCACGACCACTGGACTTATCAGGTTTGATATGCTGAAGTAGCCTTAAAACAGTACCTTTTTCAATGACCACAGGATCCATCAGCGAGCCGTTACGATCATAATGAATCGTTGGTCGTACTTCATTAGTGATAGAAAACACTCTACTAAAATATTCCGATAAAGCTCCAGCTTTTTCGGTATCATTTTCTGCCAAGATTAACGGATTTTCTTGTATCAAAAGTGATGCAATTCCATTAGTAAAGTCACATTTATTGATTTTTAATATCGTTACAATACCCCTTCTCTCCATGTGGCACTGTCCTCAGAGCCTGATGTTTGATATGTGTATGCTACACCTTCTTCTGTCCAGATGCACCGTTGTTCTGTCCGGCTTCAATTGGTTGTAGTGTGGTGTTATCACATCGTCTTGGGGTCGTTGGACGCTGCGTAAAACAACCGTAGTGGGGGAACGTGTAAATACAACTTCATAAGGTCCTTGCCAATGTTGGTGGAACTTGCTGCATGTCCCTGTTAGGGCCATGGGGCGGTGCAGCCAAACACGATCACCGGATTTATACACGGGTCCGTTCGCCTTGCGGTCATACACATCCTTTTGGTGTTTGCTAGCATTTCGTTGGTTGATCCTAACTAGGTGGTATGCGTCCGCCAGACGGCTGCGAAGGTCATGGATGTATGATACATGCTCCTGAGCCTCACATGGTAACAACGGTATTTGTAACTCGACAGGTAGACGCAATTCATGTCCGAAGACTAGAGTCGCAGGTGAAAATCCCGTGGATCCATGTACTGACGCGCGGTAAGCTAACAGACATTGGGGTGTAACCTCATCCCAACATTCCGTCGACGACTTACTGATAAACGATTGTAGGAGGGTTTTGATAGTCCTATTCGTTCTCTCCACTAAGCCGTTACCTCCTGGGTGGTATGCGGTAGTATGTGTTTTACGAATTCCCAATAATCGGCATACCTGAGAGACGAGATTGCTTTCAAAAGCTGAAACTTGATCAGAATGGAGTGAGAATGGGGCGCCGTACCGGGATACCCAATGATCAATAAAAGACCGAGTGACTGTGAGGGCATCTTGTTGTGGTATAGAACAGCTTCGCACCGTTTGCTAAAATAGTCTACCATAACCAGTATATAACGGTTTACGTTCTTTGACGTTTTGAGTGGTCCCATAATATCGATGCCAACTCGCTGATGTGGACCTTCTGTCGTCATTAGAACTAAGGGTGCACGAGGCATTTGTCGGGGTGACTTAATGACATAGCACGTGCTACAATTTTTGCAGAATTCCGTTACGTCTTCATGGATGGATGGCCACCAAAACCTCTGGCAGATCGCATGTTCGGTCTTCCTTTTTCCCGAGTGTTCAAGATCTCGGTGCACCTGCCCCATAATATTCTGGACTTGTACACGTGGTACTACCAACAGTGGCTGTTTTGATTCACTGACTATAAACAACGTGTCTCCACCTAGCACAAAGACGGCGCGTTTCCAAGGAATGATCCTTAAACTCTGCATTAGATGGTTTATTATTCCCGTGTAGTTGCCTTTGATAAATGAATTGTAATTCAGGGTCTGTTGCTTGGAGATTCGGCCAGTCGATCTCAGGAGCCGTGCTGAGAACAGCACAAATAGTATTAGGAGAATAGGGTATACGAGACAGAGAATCGGCGTTTGTATGTCGACTTCCAGGTGGGTATTCGCAAGTAAAATCAAACTCCTGCAACCTCTCCTGCCAGCGCGCTACCTGACCTTCTGGTTCGCGGAACGAAAGAAGCCACTAGTGCACGGTGGTCTGTGCGTACACGAATGGGTCGTCCTAGGAGATAGTGAAGAAAATGTTGCAAAAGTTTTACCAAAGACAGCATCTCTCGGCGTGTCGTAGAATACCTTGTATTTCTCTTATCTAGCCGGCGACTAGCGTACGCTATAACGCGCTCCTGTCCATCTTGTGCTATTTGAGACAGGACTGCTCCAATAGCTGATGAGCTGGCATCTGTGTCAAGTATAAACTCACCCGCTTTAGTAGAAGTATCCGGAAAAGCCAGTATGGGTGGAGCAGCAAGGCATGACTTCAAGGTGCTAAATGCCTGTTGACATTCTGTGGTCCACAAAAGTTTTCGTCCTTTATGCGTCAAGCGGTGTAAAGGTGCTGCCAGGGATGCAAAATCGCGTACAAAGCGTCTGTAGTAGGAAGCGAGTCCAAGGAAGCTGCGAACATCCTTGGCAGATTTTGGTTGTGGCCAGTTAATAATGGCGCTCGTTTTTTCCTTATCTGTTGTAACTCCCTCTTCCGTAATGCGATGTCCCAGAAAGAGTACTTCTTTTTGCAACAGTCGACATTTAGATGGTTTCACTTTTAAGTTGTGTTGCTTAATACGTTGTAGAACTGCCCTCAAGTTTTCATTATGCTGTTCTGGTGTGCTGTCATACACAATGATATCGTCAAGGTAAATTAAGCACTTATGTGGTACGAGGACATGTAGAAATGTTTGCATCAATCGTTGGAAGGTGGCTGGGGCATTAGTTAGCCCAAAAGGCATCACTTGAAATTCATGAAGTCCATTTGGTACGACGAATGCAGTCTTTTTTCTGTCCTGGGGTCTCACTTCTACTTGCTAGTACCCAGATGCTAAGTCTAAAGTTGAAAACCAACATGCGCCTTTCATAGCGTCTAACGTGGCATCAATCCGCGGAAGTGGAAAGGAATCCCGCTTTGTTATGGCATTAAGGCGACGATAATCTATATATAATCAAAGGGAGGCGTCTTTCTTCTTCACTAGAACAATGGGTGAAGCCCAGGGTGATGAGGACGGTACAATAATCTTTTTCTCTAGCATCTCTTTTATCATTGATTCTAACTGCGGCTGATAGTGTACTGGCACTCTGCGAGGTGGTTGGCGTAATGGCACGTGGTCACCCGTAAGGATGGAATGTTGTACGGTGGTCGTCCGAGTTCCAGAAATATTTTCCGAAAAGACGGAATTAAATTGTTGGAGTACGTCAATGGTTTCTCGGCGGTCCTTTTCGCTTATTATTTGATTATCTCGTATCTGACGTACAATTTCTGAAATTCCTACCTGGGCTACGGGTTCAGTTGACATTTCATGGTGTTGTAGGTGTACGACAACCGCGCCAATTTTCGCTTCTGATTTATCCAAGTGAATGGAGACCTGATTTTTTAACACGAAGTCCACTCCGAGTATCACGTTCCAGGTCAATGTGGAGCAAACCAAAAATTCATGTTGAAAGGAATTCTTATCTATTGTCAGCCCCAAGCTTGAATTAGAACATGCTTTTAGAGGGTCTCCACTTGCCGTAACCAATGAGGAGAAGCATTGTTTCTGTCGTGTCTTGCGGTTGAGTTTCTGTAAAAAGTCTTGCTTAATTAGAGATACTGAGGCTCCCGTATCTGGTAATATATCAGCCTCCATATTTTGTACTTTACCTCTGATAGTAATGAGACATGCATGTTTAATATAGGAAGAAGATATATGATAATGATGTATCTTACCTCTGTCTTGTACGCGATTATGCCCGCATTTCCGAGCCTTAATGCCGAACCGTTGGTAATAGAAACATTCGACTTTCTGGTTCCGCTGGTTAACCCGCGGCGGTTGTTTAGTATGTCGATAATTAGCCGCGGAAATTGTTTGTGCGGAGTCGAATTGGTGTGCGACCCTCGAATGTTGGGTAGTCATTGCCGTTGTTGCGCTTGATAATTTGTCAGCAGCTGTTAGCCGAAAGACTGTGATTTTTAGGTCCTGCATAGTTTTGGGTGGCATGCATAGCAGGTGCTGTCGTAGTGCACTCGGTAAAAGTCCTTCTACAAAACGTGAGGGTATTAGTTCTTCTCGGACCTAGGAATCTAGGCTGGGAAAGGCTTGAATAGCTGCTTGTTGTAAGGAGTGCAGGCAGTCAATGGGTTCTTCACTCATCGTCTGTCGCTAAGACAAAAACTGGATAGTTGTTAGCTGATTATCCACCGTCAAGAAAAAACATTAGTCTAAAATTCTCCAATTTTGAGACAGTGAATTAGATGAAGCGGAACCGTTGGCTGTGGCTCTTTTTGCTGCCTCGTCATCTAAATAGGACAAGAGGTATTCAAAATGTTCCGCGTTGAGACTCGACGTGAACACGTCATTACTCTAACTTTCCAGATAGCATAGTCCGATGAAACTCCAATGGTGGCGGCTGACGAGGAGTTGTGCTGGCTACTGCCTTGCTTAGGATGACTGGTGGTTCATCGTAATTTTCGTCGTGGTTTACCAAAATACCTACATCACCATTTGTAGCACGTATTATTAGCGTTTATTGCAAACAAGAGCAATCTGAAACGCAACACAACAATAAGGACCGGTAAGTGTCACTGAAGTAAGAACACGGCGTACTGGCACAACAAGGATATATTTCAAAAATTGAATTAAGCGGTTCAAATGCAAAGAGGAAAAGTTTATATAAAATGGATTATTCCTTGTCCTGCAAATCTAGCTTTTGTAAGGCTGTACCTCACATTCTAGTACGCTCACCTTATGTTGCACTGCAATGAGGAAAACAAACTCCCATTAGTAAAGTTACATGTATTAATTTTTAAAAACGTTACAAACAATGTCGCCGATTAGAGCTGCGTAATACGTTCTGTTAACAACTTATTTAAGCCTTTGTTTCAGTAAAAAGCTATTTCAATCACCTCTAAACGGAAAAATCATGTAGACAGGTTTGTTCCTGCCAAGGTTATAGTAGGTCTCAGTATACCGTGACCTTTCCATCTATTTATAAATTTTAAGGGATAGCCAGTTTCCACTAATGTTTTTTAGCAACCTAACGTCGTCATCTCATCAATCGTGTTGTTTGTGCAAACACGATCAATCTTATTAAACAGACCGCTCATCGAACCTCGTTTGTATTGCACTGGGCAGTAACTATTGTCACTAAGCTATTGGCTCGTCAACGTTGGTTTTCGAAAGATGGATCGTTTGCTTGAACCACCTTCTCGTCTGCTTACTAGTATATCTAACAAGAAAAGCCGGTCATTCTTCTCCTCTTCACATGAAAGGCTGATCTGGTTTTGCAGAGTGTTAAGTCTACTCAATAAGCAATTCATATCGTCCTTTCTTTCACAGATAACTAAAATAACTAAACATTTTAGGTAATCCATGTAAATAACGATACTCAGGACACTGGATGTCAATTAGTCAAGTAAGAATCCAACAAATATTTCACT